GCCCCGAGGCTTCGGCAAGGGGCGGTTTACAACACAATAAAATACATTGAAATACAATAGAACATAATAAATTACCATTAAATACAAAAATACAAAAAATACACTGAGTTTCAAACATAATAATATAAAATTAAAAATAACAGTATAAAATAAGTAAATAAATAATTTATCCAGCCTGCCATAGAGGTTTTGGACTCGCCATGCATGTGCCCACGGTGAGGCAGCGGCTTGCTCCTGCGGAGATTGTTTTGGACTTGCTTGGAGAAAGGATCTCTGCGCGTGCCTGCCCTTGCCCCACTGCACACATGCCCCCCCCCCCCCCCTGCGCCCTTCCACCCGCAACACCTTCCACCGCGCCCATTGCCTGGACCTTTCAACTGGTCCCCTGTTGAAAAAGTTAGAGGACCCCTGGACTAGAGGTCCCAACATTGCTAACCATTGGCCATGCTGGCTGAGCTGTTGAGAGTTGTAGTCCAAACATCTGCAGGACATGAGGAAAATTGGCCTACTATAAGTACAGTTAAATTTGCATTCGACCCAATATTTCTTTGTGTTCAGACTTGACCAGCAGTCAAAATTATTTTGCCATGATTACTGTTTATTTTTTATTTGAACTATGGAAGACACAAAAATCTGAAGCAGATTAGTGATCTATAATTCTAAGTGGTAGCTGTATTTCTGCTTTGCTACTCATACTGAGTAAAGTACATCTGATCCTATGGCCCCATTAGCACACTCAGTGAGTGTGATGGTATCAGTACTGCAGAATTCCAGAATGAGAACTAGATTCTCCAGTTCTTTGCCTCTCTCCCTGTCATCTTTTCAGGGGATTTCTGGCAAGAGGACACTCTGGATAGGATAAGGCTTAGCTTGGGGAATGAGAGCCCATCATCTTTTGTGCTCAACAGGAATGTGAAGGATGTTGACCTGTTGATCTAATCTGAGTTAGAATTTGTACCTTGACAACCCAGTAGATCAGCATGGTAGAGAGAGAGAGAGACCAGGTTTTCAATGAAACAAATTAATTGACTTATTGATAATGATTCATACATAAAATAATAGTATGAACTTGAAGAAAGACATGGTAACATAAGTTTACAAAGGGTATTCAGCTCAATCTGAGTTACAGTCCTAGACCTGAAAAGAAAGAAAGAAAAAGTAAAAAGGAAGGGAGAAAAGAGAAAATAATGTAACCAAAAGGGAAAAATATATTAGTGAAATGGAGTGAAGTGTGTATGAGAGAGCAAAAGATAAGTAAATTGTGTAGTTCTGAACATCTTTTTTTAATAATCAGGGATAAAAGCGTCTTTGATGCTTACTGAAGCAGCCTGGTTTCCTCCAAATATTTTGGATTACAACTTGCATCAGGTCCCAGCTAGATGGCCAATGTTAAGGAGTTGTAATCAAAACTATCTGGAGGGCACCATACTGGGAAAGGTTGACATAGATTATGGTAACGCAGCTATGGGAGAGTGTGGTTACGTCCTTATTTTTTTAGGAGACTTGTTTAGTTCATTATGACATGTTTCAGCACATTAGACCATACAGTCCAATAGTACTATTTTTTTCTATATACTTTGTGAGCCTGCTAGCATCTTATTAGAGATATTTCATGATTGCCATCTTGTTCTTACCAACCAAAATGCCATGGTCTCAAATAGACTGTCATAAGATTGAGCCATATTCCAGGCAAATTACCCTTCCCTGTGATATGCTAGTGCAGTGGTGGTGAACCTATGGCATGCATGCCGCAGTGGGCACACAGAGCCCTCTCTATCGGCATGCGAGCAAAGTTGCCCCAGCAGCCGAGCATCGGATAACAGTGCACATAGGGGCCATGCGTGTGCTCGGAAAGGAGTAGCAGTGCCAGGCAATGATGTCATGAGGCGCGACTTATTAGCTGTGACTCATCCGTGCTTTCGCATGTCCGGTCGGTGCGCTGCCGTGTGTGTGTGTGTGCTTGGACTGGCTGTGAGTTGTTTTTTCTAAACTAAAACCTCCGTATTCAGGTTTTATTGGAGTGCTGGCACTTTGCAATAAATAAGTGGGCTTTGGGTTGCAGTTGGGGCACTTGGTTTCTAAAATGTTCGCATCACTGTGCTAGTGAAACCCATCTAGAGAAGATGTAGGGTGGGAGGATGGGGGGGGCAAAAGATTGCCTCTCCTGTTCTTGCCCTGAATAGAATACTTGGAAAACTCAAAGTTCAAGGGCTTATAATTCTCATAATTGCACCCCAAGAGGTTATTGCTTGAGTTTATTTACTCCATTCTGTAGGTGCTGCCCCTTTGGAGACAGGATTTAATGAAACTGGCAACAGATCTTGGAAGAGTGATGGACCCGAGGATAACATGTTCCTAGGTTGCAAACTGGAAGAGCATCAAGATGAAAATGAGAAATGTGCCTCACTTTGTAGTACCGGTGATTGTTCCCTGGAAGATTTTTCAGAAGATGCTGGGAGCGCAACAACACACAATTGTGCTGATCCTGAGCCAGATGCTGGCGGACATTGTATTCCGCTCTTGGTAGCTGATTGTTCTGCAGAGCACTATATGCAAGAAAACCTTGATGCCTCTAGTGAGAGTACAGAATGTGGCCAACAGCTGCAGGTAGAGCAATCAAAAGAGGAATTGCTACTGACTTATAAGCCCAAGATCAATACTCCACTGATCTCAGCCCCAAAAATGCATACCAAAACAAGGGAGGCTTGGAAATGCTTGTTTTGTAACTTGAGGCATATGTCCTTGGTATGTTTAAGAAAACACATTCACGCTACTCATATGAATAAAAAAAATCACAAAGGTAAGTTTTGCCACAGAACATATTTCTTATCTACCAATCTTAAACGCCACTGTATGTTCCACATGAAAATGTTATTGTTAAGAAAGAGAGAGGAAAGTAAAAATACTGGAGAAAGTAGAAGGAACAAGGATAAACTAGCTATGAAGACCTCACCCAAGAATCAAAAGGAAAGTAAGTATGAGAAATTCTTTACTGAAATGAAAAGGGAACTAAAGCCTTCAAAGAGCTTCTGTTGCTCAGTATGTTCCTTTGCTTCCCAAAATCCAAAAAGTTTTACACACCACATGAAGAAGCATCATGATGGACCACCTTATCAGTGCCCGCGGTGTGACTATTCCTCTGATAACCATTCCAATGTGCTTAAGCACTTGTACTGGCATGCTGGCTATAAGCTGTACAAATGCACCTTCTGTGCTTTTTTGTCCCAGCATTTTAGCAGCATGGTAAAACACAGCTTCCTCCATTCAGGTGCCAAGCCCTATTGGTGTGCTGTCTGTGAGCTGCGCTTCACAAGCGCAAGTAGCTTAAATAAACACGTGGACTCACATAGCCAAACACAGCAGAGCAGTAGTTTGCCTATTGCTTGGGAGGAGAGACAGAATTCTCAGAGGAAATATGTGTGTAAGCAGTGCAGCAAAGTCTTTTACACAAAGAAACATCTCCAGGGTCATTGGAAATACCACTCACAAGTTCAGAACAATGATAACACATCTAAAGCTATCTGTGTTGAAGAGTGTGAGCAGACCAGCCATTTGCAAAAGACTCAGGCTCTGTGTGATTTTGATAATCGGAAAGCAGTAAGCCTTTCTCAGTCAAATGAACTGTTCATGCCAGCAGCAGAATGTGAGCAAGAAGATGGCTCCCAAGAAGAGGTACACCCACAGAAAGACTACTGCCGAAGCAATTCAGGGAGTGAGATGTCGGATGTTTTCCCAAGCACGTATGTTTGTGATCATTGTAACATTGTGTTTCGGAAAGAAGAACTCTTGAGGTACCATAAGGGTATTCACGTACAGGTTCAACCAAGTGAGAACAGTAGTAAAAACCAGGACTATGGGGCAAATGGTCGGCACCCTTCTTGTGGACCAGCTCTTAGACTCTTCAAATGCCACCAATGTTCTTATATCACTAGTGCCTTCAGCAATTTGCGAATACACTTTAGTGTCCACACTGGTGAAAAACCGTATAAGTGTCAAGAGTGTGACAAGTCCTTTCGAAACTCCAGCCACCTAAAACGGCATAGCTTGTCACACTTACAGAAGCATCACAAATGCAGCCAATGCCTTTTCATAGGAGTGACTGCAGAAGACCTTAAGTTCCATAAAGAAACGTGCAAAGGTAAGGGTGCAGCAAGAAAAAGACTTCATTCATCCACTTCAAGCTGTGAAAACTCAGAGAAGCAAATGAATATGTCTAAAGAAAAAGGAAGCAAAAGCACAGTCATGTCTCATAAAAGCCATCCACAAGCCTATAAGTGTGAGCACTGTGATTATACCACCTACATATTGGGCAGGCTGAAGTGTCACACAAGAATACACACAGGAGAAAGGCCATATTGTTGTGCTATTTGTAAAAAAGCTTTTTTTACATCAAGTCACCTGAAACGTCACATGCTTGTGCATGAGAACCTGGACTTCCTCAGGTGTGGCAGCTGTGACTTTTCAACTGGCAACTGGCAGTCATTTAAACAACACTTGGCTTCACACACAGATAAGCAGCCTCCACCTAGTGGCCATTCTCAAAAGCAGCCTTCCTCCTTGCCTGTGAAAATATTTAAGTGTGAAGAGTGTGACTACAAAACTATCCGTAAAGGAAACTTGAAGATACACTTTCAGATCCACACTGGTGAAAAGCCACATAAATGTTCTCACTGCAGCCTTGCTTTCCGTACATCTAGCCATTTAAACCGCCATGTTTTAACTCACTTAAAGTGCAACAAATGTATGTTTTCTGCCACAAGCAAGCATGCTCTGCAGAAGCATGCACAAACTCATAAGAAGAAAAGAGTTAAGAGGCAGAAAAAGACATGTGCGGTAAAACAACTGACAAATGAACTTAGTGTAGAAGTGCAAAGTCTCAACACCATACCTTTAAAAGGTGCATCAAAAAAATACACGAGAACAAAAAAGTAAAATCAGAGGCTTATATGGTACATCCAAAAAGCATGAAAAAGCAGCTGTTGGACCTCAAGAAAGAACTTTTTCAGTTAAGTATCTTAGTATGATTTAAAAACATTTTCTGCTAAGTATGGCTGAATCTGAAATTTCATTGGCAGTAGAGTGCTAGCTCCTTAAAAGCATGTTCGGGGAGTATTTTTTTAAAAGAAACATGCTAATTTTCAGAAAGGGCAGGTGTGAGAACAGTTGTAGACATTGATTTGTACAAACTACTTCAAGGTATTTGGATTCTTTAGGGTTGGTCAGTTTTGCTGGTAATGTACAAAGATCCTGTTAATACCTTTCCTAGACAACAAACTTAGAGGAGGAAAACTGGTTAAGAAACATAATACCCTATTCCTAGGGTCTTTGGAGCAGTCTTCCATGTTCTAATAATGTTATCAGTGGCTTTAATTTTGCTGCTCATCTGGTGCTTCCCTGGTAGTATTCTGGGAAGGAAGACTTTGCCTTGGCCTCTGCTTAGTTGTGCAGCTTTCTGCACTCCTGGGGGAAGATTTTGGAGGATCTAAAGACAGAAGCAGTCAGTGTCTTGGGTTCCTTGAATTTCTAGCTTCCTCAAATGGAGCACCTGCCCAGATGATCGTTTCAGGGACCTTGTCTGAGTGAACGGGGTACTCCTTTTTAGGATCTCTCATCTATTTCTGGTGAGAGACACTTTAGTGTACAGTATTTCTCTGAAGCAATTAGCTCAGTTTTTTCCCAATCCGATGATCTTCCGATGTCTTGGAATACAGCTCCCATCAGCCTCAGTCAGCATGCTCCATGGCCTGGGTTGATGGGAAATGAAGTCAAAAACATCTGAAGGGCAGCATGTTTAGGAAGGCTGGCATATACATGCTATTTCTTTTAAGCTATTTCAGAATATAGTCAAGGAACTGAGAAAAAACCAGCATTCCTGGCAATCTTAAATGGCTCCAGGTTGTCAGAATATGAAACAGCCTATACAGTCCCCAAAATACTGCTTATGTTCTCAGTTTGGTGAAAATGTGTTTTATGTACTTGAGCTAGTGGGACATCTGAGGGCATCCTAATGTAGAAAAGTCAAGATATTCCAATTTCATTTCAATATTCAATTCATATATTTTTCATATCCTATTCAGTTGAGTACTGAAGAAGATGCTTATTAGCAAGACTGTTCAACAGAAAATTCATTGACCTGTACTATTTTCTAAAGTGTTGATTGTAAAGTACACTTGTAAAAATTTCACTGAATACAACTTGATGCATGTATCTTTTCTGTACAAACTATAAAAAATGAAGGCCACAGGTGCCTCAATATGCTTATGGCTTATGGTGGGGGATGGGAGATGACAAAGCTGAGATTAGTGTTACTTAATGTACAGTGTTTATGCTGTCTTTTCAAGGATACCCTTGAAAAATCTAAAGCTTGAATTACTTCCTTGGGTTTTCTTTATTAAACACTGTGTTCAAGAGAATGGCGAAATGGTGTTGCTTGTCAATTGTTGTTTGTTAAATAAAATGTGAGATCTAAACTTGGTTTCTGTTCTGTAAACTACTGCCCTTGTGATTCCATGCATAAATAACAGTATTCCATGAACTACACTGAAAAACAAGCTGTAAACTGCTGTTCCAGAGAGGCACAAGTAGTATAGCAGTGGCAGAGTTGGCAATGCACAGAAAAAAAGCAAAGATGCTACGGACATCTTCTGTGTTGCATAAATGTATGACTTAAGTGATCTTGGATCCAGATGCTAACAAATGTTTTGATGGTGTGTTATATATTCTATCTGTATATTACATGTCTACTCTTGCTCTCTGGACTGCACTGTAGGAATCACTTATGTTTCCGGTTTTATGTGTTTGCATGGTAGGGAAGGAATAGGCTGGCAAGGTAAGATGGGCTACACTGCTGCAAAATTTGTTGTGTTTAGACACTGGATTCCTACATTGCAGCTTGCTGAGTTTTCCTATCAGTCATAGGTAAAAGGTTCAACATACAGTTGTATAGCAATGATAAAATGGACAGTGATGCACCCATTTTCTCTTGTAAACAAATTTATTCTGTGCAGTTCTGAATTCATTTGATCAATACTAGAATTAATTCATTGTAATACAGTGCTCATATCCATTGAGTATTTGTAATTCTATTAATTTTTATTAAATTCTTCAGATGATGAAAAGGCATGGTTTTTAAACAACTTGTTTCCATCAATTCAAAAATAATGAAAGGATCCAACCCCATGCTTCATACAGGTCTCCAAAATCTCGGTCTTCTAAAATGCATGGTAACTAGTAAAGCTGTGTCCAAACAAGTGACTATCTGTTGGACTTGCTTTGATGTGGGGGGAAATTAGATGGCTGTTTTGAAAGGTGTTTTATTCTTGTGATTCAGCAGAAGCTTCCTTGAACAGAAGTGACACAATTTTCATTGAGACTCCTGAAATTCCCCATGTTAGAACGAAGACCCTCACAAACAGCATGTGGGCTCATAGGAAAAAAGAGGAACTTGTGAAAATTGCTTCCCTTCTCAGATTCACAGGAGGTGTATCTGGATCAAAGAGCCTTCTGTGGGCTGCATCCAATACTGGCTTTCTGTAAGTGTAATTTAATTCATACACGCACATGGTCACACAGTCTTCTGCATACTACAACAAGCAGGACCTGCAGGGGAGGAGAACAACAGGATGTCCTGTGGTGCAAGTGGAAATTGCTTGCATATTAAATTTAACCCTGTGAGGGAGATAGAATTTGATATGTTTAAACTAGATTTCAAGTTTAAAACTATCAGCAATAATATACTCTTAAAAAATCTAATTTCAAACACACACACACAATCCCATCCACCTTGGCACTAAATCAACATCTGGAGTAAGAGCATTATTCATACTGCATCTTAGTATCTAGTTCATTACATTTGTCACTTCAATACTTTCAGGGGTGGTGGTAGGTCAACAGTAACATGACAGAAAGTGGGGTGAGTTGTCAGAACAGAGATGCTGAAAGGCATCTAGCAAAGTCTTTGTAGGGAGGAGAGCAAAGCCCTAACCCTAAGGTTCACTGCTCAGTCACGTAGCTGCTACACTAATATGGACGTTCTTGGTTAAATGTCTATTAAACAAAATGGAAATAGAGCTATATCTCAGCTATTTTCAAAGTAAGAGACATTCAGCTACTTGCAAGTTTGTTTGGTCTAGAACAGGGGTCCTCAAACTTTTTCACCAGGGGGCCAGTTGAAAGGTGCCAGTACTGGGCACAGGCTGGAAAGGTGGTGTGGGTGGTGCATGCGGGCCGGCATGGGGGGGGCGGCGCAGGCACAGAGGCGGGGCGCACAGTGAGGTGGGCACACAAGGCAGCGACTTGCTTGTTTGGAGTTTTCTCCAAGTGAGCAAACTGCTGCCTCCCCACGCTTGGGGTGAGGTGGGCAGAAGGGGGCACATGCATGGGTGTGGGCACACGTGTGGTGGGTCCAAATGGGCATGGCGGGCCGGATTCAGCCCCTGGGCCATAGTTTCAGGACCCATGGTCTGGAATGTACTGGAGGAAGGGGCTCTCAAGTCTGGAACTGACACTGTTCAGTAGCTCCAAATATTGCTTGAGTCCCTCAACCATTCTTGTTACTTTTCCAACTGCATAATTTTACTGAGCTGCAATGATGAGAATTTGATCACACTACAGAACTGTATGGAGTCAGTCCAGTGTTGAACCTGGAGTGTCCGATACGGAAAAGTTGTTGTTAGTCACGAAGTTGTGTCCGACCCATCGCGACCCCATGGACAACATTCCTCCAGGCCTTCCTGTCCTCCACCATCCCCTGGAGTCCACTTAAGCTCACACCAACTGCTTCAGTGACTCCATCCAGCCACCTCATCCTCGTATTTGAGTTTCATCTTCAGGATCTGGCCTTCTAAAGAGCAGTCAGGGTTGATCTCCTCTAGGACTGACCAGTTTGATTGCCTTGAAGTCCAAGGGACTCGCAGGAGTCTCCTCCAGCACCACAGTTCAAAGGCCTCAATTCTTCGGCGCTCAGCCTTCCTTATGGTCCAACTTTTACAGCCATACATGGTAACTAGGAAAACCATAACCTTTACTATACACACTTTTGTTGGCAGGTTGATGTCTCTGTTTTTTAGTATGCTGTCTAGATTTGCCATAGCTTTCCTCCCCAGGAGCGTCTTTTAATTTCTTGGCTGCAGTCCCCGTCTGCGATGATCTTGGAGCCCAGGAAAATAAAATCTGTCACTACCCCCATTTCTTCCCCATCTGTTTGCCAGGAAGTGAGAGGACCGGATGCCATGATCTTAGTTTTCTTAATGTTGAGTTTCAAGTCAACTTTTGTGCTCTCCTCCTTCACCCGCATCAAGAGGCTCTTTAGTTCCTCTTCACTTTCTGCCATTAGAGTGGTATCATCTGCATAGCTGAGGATTTGGAATAGCTCAGCTGGAATACTGTCACCCCCACTAGTTTTGTTATTGCTCAGACTTCCTAAGGCCCAATTGACTTCACATTCCACGATTTCTGCCTCGAGGTCAGTGACCACCCCATCGTGGTTATCAGGGACATTAAGCTCTTTCTTGTGTAGTTCTTCTGTGTAATCTTGCCACCTCTTCTTAATCTCTTCTGCCTCTGTTAGGTCCCTGCCATTTTGGTCCTTTATCATGCCCACCTTTGCATGAAATGTTTCCTTCACATCTCCAATTTTCTTGTAGAGATCTCTGGTCCTCCCTATTCTATTGTTTTCTTCTATTTCTTTGCACTGTTCATTTAAGAAGCCCTTCTTTTCTAGCTATTCTCTGGAATTCTGCATTCAGTTGGGTGTATCTTTCTCTTTCTCCCTTGCCTTTCGCTTCCCTTCTTTCCTCAGCAATTTGTAAAGCTTCCTCAGACAGCCATTTTGTTTTCTTGCATTTCTTTTTCTTTGGGATGGTTTTAGTTGCTACCTCTTGTCCAATGTTGTGAACCTTCGTCCATAGCTCTTCAGGCACTCTATCAGGTCTAATTCCTTAAACCTATTTGTCACCTCTACTGTATATTCATCAGGGACATGATTTAGGTCATACCTGAGTGGCCTAGTGCTTTTCCCTACTTTCTTCAACTTAAGCCTAAATTTTGCAACAATGGAACAGTACTATTCATTTAATACCTATTCCTTCTATTTACCGCTTCCTCACAGCTCAGGGGAGACTCCTCCCTCCACGCTTTCCTTTCCTTGTGCTTGAACACGCTAAAATCCAGGATTTCAACACTAATTTCTTAAAGCACGCTCACTCCCCTCGGAGGAGTGCGGGTGTCCGAAGGAACCCGTTGCTGGGGGCGCGTCTGCCGGCGATAAGGCAGCAGCGCCTGGGGATGCGTTCCTCGGGGGACCCGCCTTCCTCCGCGGGGGCACGTAGGCTGTGAAGGCAGAGAGAAATGAAAGGCGGGAAGGATCAGATCCCTCCAGCCGCCGTTTGCAACCCGAGCCAACTGCACCCGTGGCGCGAAAAGGACGGCCGCGACTCACGCCCGAGGAATTCGCGCGACATCGCTACGAAAGAGGCGGTTCTCCTTTGCGTCTCCTCCAATCCCAAGGGCGTCGCAGCTCGGCCGAAGCTTCTTGAGAATGCGCCTGCGCAGTGTCCGAACGTCGCTCTCGTGCGCGGCGCCGTGATCGACGTACTTCGCCGTTGCCGTTTGTTCCTATTCCTTCTTCTCTGCAGCGCCTTCTTTCCCGCCGCCGAGATGCCGCGGATAATGATTAAAGGGGGCGTGTGGCGAAACACCGAGGTGGGTGCACGTCCTATCCTTTCCACTTCATTCCCCGTGTCGGCCGTCTCCCCCTTCATAGTTTTCTCCAGAGGCCTCCCTGTTGCTGCCCTAAGTGCTGGCATGGCGCATGCGTCAAAGAGTAAAGCGCATGCGTGTGTGATCACCCTTTTTTGCGCTGCGAGTAGTTCGTTCTGTAGCACTCCAGTGGTGCTAAATATAAGTGTAAATACAAAGCAGGGGTTGAAAGGGGTGATAAGGGAGCTTGAACGTGTGCATGTTTTATACCGAAATATATTCCAAGATGTTCAGTTGTCCTTCTGCTCAGATATGTGCCAAGACGCTCGTTTCCGACTGGGTAGGCTTCCTTCTGGGATGAAACTCAAGAATAGCAGCTGATTGGCAACAATTTTCTGTCAGGGAAAAATTAACAGCCCAGATCGCAAATTCTAATATTTCTAGTTGTCATGGGTTTTGTGTTGCATTGTAATATTATCATTGTGTATTGATCATCGTATTGAAGTTTGCCAAATGCCCAGTTGCAACTCTAAGGAAAACATACTTACCAACTAATGAAGATCCAGAAGAGTGAAGCATTGGTTGCAGTCGTATGTACACTTACTTAGGAAGTGGGCCCATTAAATTAAGTGAAACTTGTTTAAGAGCCACACTAGATCAGACCAAAGGTTCATCTAGTCCAACACTCAGCACACACAGTGGCAACCCAGCTGCCCAGAGAATCCCTCAAGCAGGATGGGTGCAAGACCTCCACCTGCCCTAGCTCTGCAGCAGCTGGTGTATGCAGGTATGTCATCTCTGATAAAGGAGGTAACACATAGCCTGCAAGACTAACAGTCTACTTCCTCATGAATCTGACCAATTTCTCTTTACATCCATCCAAATTCATGGCCATCACCACTTCCTATGTCAGCAAATTTCATAGTTTAATTATGCACTGTATGAAGAAGTACTTCTTTTTATCTGTCCTAAACCTCCCACCAATCAGCGCTGTGGGATGACCCCAGTTTGAGGGATATAGGAGAAGGAGAAAAATGTCCCCCTCACTACATTCTCCAAACCATGCATTATTTTAAACACTGCTATCATGTCTCCCCTTACTTGCCTTTTTTCCCATGGTGAACAGTCCCAGTTGTCATGGCTGCTTCTCATAGGGGAGCTGCTCCAGCCCCCTGATTATTTTTGTTGCCCTTCTCTGTACTTTTTCTAACTTAATAATGTCCTCTTTCAAACAGTACTGAACATAATATCCCAAGACCAGTCACATCAAAGATTTATATAAGGGAAGTAAAACGTGGGCAATTCTATTTTCTGTTCCATTGCTAATTATGCCTAGCATGGAGTTTGCCTTCTTCACAGCAGCTGCATGTTGGGTTGACATTTTCCTCAAGTTGCCCCCTAAACTCCAAGATCACTTCCTTGCTCAGTCACTGCCAGCTCAGATCCCATCAATATAGACTTGAAGTTAGAGGTTTTTGCACCAACATGCACAAATCTGCACTTGCTTATATTGAACTGCATTTGCCATTTTGATGCCTTTCTCCCAGCTTGGAGAGATCCCTTTGAAGCTAGTGAAGTGGCCTAGTGAGGGAATCCCATTTTAACCATCCTTAAAAGTTTAGTGTCATCAGCAGCCTTGGCCACTTCACTGCTTACTCCTACTTCAAGCAAAGGGGCATGAAATGAGAATGTTATACTGAAGTTTAAACTATCACTAGATTGCAGAAAAGAAAAATAAAGGCAAGAAAGCAACAGCATTTTATTATTTGCCTTCATTCAGATAATAAACGTTGTAAAATAATCTCTAAAACTGTAGTAATCAATAAAAGCAAACTGTTCTAAGATGCTTCTGATTGACAGGCATTAACACTGAAATCTAGGCCTACTCTTAAATTTTACTTCTAAGCCAGACTTAATGTAGGCAGAGCTCTGCTAGATTAGATTAAAGTTGTTCTGGCCCTGCATCTTGCTTCCCACTTGGCCAGGCAGATGGCTAAGGAAAGAAGTGCTGCCCCGCTATTTCCCCTCACTTCACTTTACCTGATTTATGAATGTCATTTGACATTTTGTTGCCTCTTTACCCAGTCTGAAAGACTTTCACAGCCCTCTTTGGTTTTCAGCATCCTAAATGATTTGCTCTAAATTGCAGATTAAGCCAGTTCATGTAGATCCCCTTGGATAATTTATGAACGCACTAAATAGCACACATCTTCAGAGAGCTGCACTTCAAATATCTCCAAACCAAAACACAAGCAAGGACTTCCTGCAATGTAATCTGGCTGTCTGTTCTATAAAACTCCTGGCATTAGGACAAGAGCTTTTAAAAATATTGTTTCATTATAACAATTAGTAATTAACATAAGCATCACACAGTTTGATCAAAGTATTTTTCCCTAATAAAATTGAAGTCCTAAACATCCTTAATTATTATTTAACTGGTTAGTTAACAAATTGGGGGTGTTTTGGCCAAGCCATTGGCCAGTCCTAGATAAATCCCTTCTAAAATTGCCCTTATAAAGCAAAGAATCTGTTGACTCTTATTTGGCCAGTACAAAAGTATACCTCCTTGGAAAAACTAGTAATCTTAGAACAATCTTATAAACATGTTAATGACAAACCCAGTAGCACCATTATGTTTTGTCTAATATGACAATTCCAAACAAAAATTGGAATGCAGAAATATTGTAATGGTTAACAATATACTTTTTGTTTTAAGGATGAAATTCTTAAAGCAGCTGTAATGAAATATGGAAAAAACCAATGGTCTCGTATTGCCTCACTGTTGCACAGAAAATCAGCAAAGCAGTGCAAAGCCCGATGGTATGTAATAAAATTTTTGGTGGATAACAGTTCATTTCAGTGAGGTGGGCTATGTATAGTGTGTATCAGGAATGCATATGATACATGTGTTTGTGCAAAAGTACTGGCTTGTGTATATAGGCTGTGTACTTTGTAAATTTTGTAAAGACTCTGCAGCTGTAGAGTATATTCAGCTGTAGAGTCATGCAAGCTTGAAAGTGGACTTCTCCAGGTCATTCTAGATTGGGAGAAAGAAAAGACAAGTGGGTGGGCAATGTATTTCACCCCTTAATTGAAGAGCAGCTTGGGGCATTCCTGTGTTGGATTGGGCTGTGTTAGTTTTGCAGAGCAGATTATAGTTCTTACTTGGAATGCAGCTACGTAGATACAGTTGGACAGCCTTTGATATTAGCAGTTTCTGCTATGCTGTTTACAGTTTTTTGGACCTCTGGGAATTAGAAATATTCAGCGGTGAATTATCAACACTTAGGGAGCAATTCAGTGACCTCTAGATGGTGTCTAGGGGACTACCAGTTACTTTGAATTAGGCTGTGACAATCCTTTCATGATCCAGTTCTCTTCTGTTTGTTGAACTTACTCTCATGCTTGCCTCTGACTTTGGAAGTGAGCTGAGCTGAGAGGAAGCCTGCAAACCCTTCCTGAACTACAGCTGCACAACTGGCAACCTTCTTCTGCAGCATGTGCAGCACAAAGGAAGGCCACAAATCATGTCTGGAAGAGTGGTGCTGCTTGCACAGCATTCACACAGTGCTTGATTCTTGGTTAGGTGTCTGTAGAAAGGCTTATGTTGAACTCACAGCTGCAAGAAATCAGATCAGAAGCTGAACCAAGCTGAACTAAGAGAATCTGATAGGTTCCCACCCCACAGTGGATTCTTCACAGATTCCTACTTTGAATTCCCAGATCCATGGTTAAAACCAACTCTGCCCTCAGAGCTGGGAATCCATGCTGTGATCTCCTCCCTTCTTACAGCCAGCATGGAAAACAGCATGCTAGCTCATTCTTGGAGGATGGAAAATATGAAATCTTTTTACTGATAAGAGCTTAATCTTACCAAAACCCTCTCATTTTCATAATTTTGAGTAAGGTATGAATGGCTGGACCCAAGTATAAAGAAGACTGAATGGTCACGAGAAGAAGAAGAGAAATTGCTGCATTTGGCTAAACTTATGCCAACCCAGTGGAGAACTATTGCACCAATTATTGGAAGAACAGCTGCTCAGTGCTTGGAACACTATGAGTTCCTACTGTAAGTAATTCTGTTCTGCAGTGGAAGGATAATTTCTTGATGCTGGGAGATTGTGTGGAGGCTTTCTAGTTATAGAAATGACCCAGGATTTCAGAAAGTACCTTTGAGTACAGTGGTACCTTGACTCACAAACTTAATCCAGTCCAGGACTCTGGCCATGACCCAAATTGGTTGTGAGCCAAATTAAATTGACCATAAGGTTCAGTGTAAATAAGGTCAATCCGTTCTGTAACTATTTTTTTTAAATCAGAAAAATGTAAAGCAAAGTGACAACAACAAAGATCGCGGCCATCTCCCCCCGCCACCCTGAGCATGAGTGCGGCCATCTCCCCGCCTCCCCAGCATGACTGTGATCGCGCCCGTCATCCCAGGGGAGAGATGGGCGTGATCACGGGCGCAGTTGGCAGGGAGATGGGCTCGATCATGGGTGCGCTAGGGGCGAGAGACAGGCGTGAACCCAGGCACGCTGGGGGGAGAGATGGGCGCGAACACGGGCACACTTGGGGGGGGGGGGAAGATGGCCGAGATCGTGGTTGCGCTCACGCAGATGGGCGCAATCATGGGTGCGCTCATGCAGGAAAGATGGGTGCGATCTCAGCCATCTCCCCTGCACCCCCAGCACGATTGCAGCCATCTCTCCACTTAGAGGGGTGGGGAGATGGCCCTGATCGCGGTCGCCACCCAATGTGGAGTTTGCGACCTGAGTCAAAATTTTTATGAAATTTTTGTTCGCGACTTGGTCATGAACTGAGGCATTCATGAGCCAAGGTACTACTGTATTTGATAACAGTATATTGATATGCCCACTCGTGAAGTTTTGCTCTGACAGTCTTCTATCTCATGAAGTACTGGCAGGTGCAATGCTTACTGAGGGTAGCTGACATGGGTGATGTCTTTTATTCAGAATTAAGAAGGATATGTCATGTTTTCTTTGCATATTTTAATATTTTTAAATTGTTTATTGTTTGTTTGCTTTTTTTCTTTTCAGAGATAAGGCCGCACAAAGAGACAATGAGGAAGAAACTGCTGATGATCCTCGCAAACTTAAACCAGGAGAAATTGATCCAAACCCTGAAACGAAGCCAGCTAGGCCAGATCCTATTGATATGGATGAAGGTAGGGTAGCATGGTTTTCTGTATGTTGCTTAAATAATGTTGGCAACTAGCAAAACAAGAAAGTGGAGGGTAAATGTAGCCTGGAATAATGAATATTTCCAAAGTTATCATGTCTCACATTTTATAGTAAGACTTATTCTTAGATGAGTAGATCATCGATGGTATAGGCATAAGCATGTTAATTGTGCTACTTTTAATGTATAGTGTCATAGGATTAATATAGGGTTAATCTGTCTCCCTTGAAGTCTGGGTATTATGCTGTGGCTGTATTCCTAGACGAAGAAACTTAAGAGGTGTTGTCTAAGTGGATGAAGGTCAATAAATTGAGATTTAATCCAGATAAGATGGTGGTTCTGCTGGTGAGTGGTTCCGCTTTCCAGACAAGTGATTTTTGCACTTTTCTGGATGGGATTCCACTGCCCCTAGGGGACAGTTTGGGAGTTCTCCTCTACCCAGAGTTATCCTTGGAGTTCGAGGTGACTGCTGTGGCAAGGAGTGCTTTCCACCAGCTTCGGCTGATCTATCAACTATGCCCTTACGTGGATGTGCAGAGTCCAGCAACAGTAACTCATGCTCTGGTAGCCTCCTGATTGGACTATTGTAATGTGCTTAATGTGGGACTGCCCTTGAAAACAGTCCAGATCCTTCCCAGTTTGTTCAAAATAGAGCAGCCAGGTTTTTGACAGGGACCAGCAGGTGTGATCACATAATGCTGGTCCTGTACCACCTGCACTGACTACCAGTTGAATTCCAGGCCCATTTAAGGTGTTAACTATGACATTTAAAGGCCTAAACGGTTAGGGCCTGGATGTTTGAAGGATTGTCTCTTTCTGTATACACCTGCCTGAGCCCTTAGATCATGGGTCCTCAAACTATGGCCTGCAGGCCAAATCCGGCCCGCCATGCCCATTTATCCAGCCCGCCTCAGAAGTTTTGGACTTGCCGTGTGTGCGCACGTGTGGGTGCGCAGCGAGGCGGCGGCTTGCTCGCACGGAGATTGTTTGGGAGAAAATGATCTCAGGAGATCGCTGTTTCTAGTGCCTACTCAGCCATGAAATTCAGTAGGTGATTTAGGGACATTCAGTCAGCCTTGCAGGGTACATGTGAGGATAAAATAATGGGGAAGAGGAGGAGCATGTTAACCACTCTGCATTTCCTTTAGGAAAAATGGTGGGGAGATGCTGATGATGATGATGTAGTGTTTTAACCTAAAGCATATTTTGAATGAGACCAAAGAAGGCTCAGGTGACCTGGAATCTGCACTTACCAATATTTTTTCCGCACTCTTGAGAGTCCTTTTGTTCTTGCTTCCAGTTGTGAGAGATATTTATATATTTTTACAGATGAACTTGAGATGCTTTCTGAAGCAAGGGCTCGTTTGGCTAACACTCAGGGAAAGAAAGCCAAAAGGAAAGCAAGAGAAAAGCAGTTGGAAGAAGCTAGGTTGGTATAGCCTTTCTCAAGTATTTTTTCAATTTGGCTGAAACTATTCCTCATCACAATTAAGGTTTTGAGGAGGCATGCTTTTCATGGTTCCCAAAGTCACGTAGCTGAGCTGGGATTTCCCAGGGATCTCTTTATTTTATACCAATTGTACATGGTGGGCACAGTCTTCTAGAAATAAGAAATAAATAAGAATAGTCTAATAACTTCCAAATAATTGACTGGTCTTATTAATTTCTGAGATTTTCAAGTCTTCATTATAGGAAGGCAAAACTCTGTATGTAACAAGACAGATTTACTATTTCCTAGTTCGGGGGGGCACTTTTCCCCTGAAGTCAACAAGATCCTTGTTGTGGAAAAAAATGTATTTTCAAAGAAAGTATTGCAAAGAAAGTTTGATTGGCCCAAAAGACTGCCTTTTTGCCAGTTGTAGTGGTCACAGTAGTAGTAAATTAGGCACATAATTTGCATTAAACCTTTTGATTTGTTATGAGCCCTGACTCAAAACTGATGTCATGCCCTTTATCAATTATTATGGAATGCATCTGTAAGGAACTGGATTTTCTGTGTTTGCAAAAAAAGAGTTCACAGAATGTCACCTCCAAAAGTGAACTATATTCCATAGTAACATTCATTTCAAGTCTTGGTTAATTTATTGCACCTCTTTAGACGCCTTGCTGCACTCCAGAAGAGGAGGGAACTTCGAGCTGCAGGGATTGAGATCCAGAAAAAAAGGAAAAAGAAAAGAGGAGTGGACTACAATGCAGAAATCCCATTTGAGAAGAAGCCTGCTCCAGGTTTTTATGATACATCAGAAGAAAATTACCAAGCCCTGGATGCAGATTTTAGGAAGCTAAGGCAACAAGACTTAGATGGGGAACTAAGATCGTAAGTTGGTTCTTGCTTAAAAGTACCATCTTCAAATGGGATAATAGAAGAGCATAGTATATTCTCCTGTAGTGTTGCCCAGTGAGTAGCATATTAAAGTTATTGTATGTCAATACAGCTTATTTTTACTGCTTATACATTTTTCACAAAACTGAACGTTTTAAGTTCTTAGTTTTTATTTTAAAATGCAGTAAGCAACTCAAGTTCTATCACTTTTTGAACAAAGATAATTAAAATACATCATATTTTAATTATCTTCCCTCCCCATAAACCCACTGGGTACGGCTTCACTTCAGGATGCTGCCAGACATTCCTTTGCATCACTAATTTTTGCCACCAAAATTTGGCTGTGGGAAAAAGGGAACTATTTGCTTTAAAACAAAGCATGTAGGATGCACACAGACACTTCCTTTTCCAAGCAAACTCACACTCCTGGGAGGCTTCCCTGCATGTCTGTTGCCTGCGTACTTGCAATAAAGCAAAATAACCCCCCTTTTTTTGCTGCCACCCAATTTTGGCAGGAAACAGATGCCTTTGTTGGGGTAGCCTTTACTGGACTACCAAACTTCATTGATGGTAAGAGCCCCTCAAAAGTTGTGGGGAGACCTTACTGCAAAACCATTAGCTTTTCTGATTTCTGAAACTGTTTAATATTATCTGAACCTTGTTGGTAAGAAAGTGAATAGGATTGATTTATATGCTAGTGACATGTTCTGGACCTTTACCAATCCTAACACTAGACTACAACATAAATATATTTAGAAGAGTTTGAACTATAGTTTGAATAAGGATAAAATGAAAATTATGTAAGACCAAAATTATCCAAGAAAATTGCCAAAGACCAAATTTAGAAACAAGCCAACAAACATTGGATGAATAAACTGGTAAGATATTCAAGTATAAATATTTCAGAAAAATAGAAAAGATATATTAAAAGATATTATGAACTGCTTTTCATAGAATTTATAATGTTAGTTGATCAGCACTTGAAACTGTAATCATAGTATCTGGGTCATACTTCAATATTTATTCTTTTTCTTTAAAAAATATTAAAGTAATAAATGACAAGCTATTGAAATGGCAAAAGGGTCTGCTTCAGTGTATTTGGAATGAAAAAGTAAGAGTGAGGCTACAATTGCATACCTTGGTTTGGTGGGAGCCTCACTGAACTCGGTGGAACTTCTGAGTAGACATTCCTAAGATTATGGTATAAGACATTTATTTTATAGAAATATCAGTGTCATAGAAATTTAGAATTTTCCATTGTAAATTTTATTGTACTGCAAATTCTATTAATAGGGTTATGGGCTGGATGGAAATCCACCTCATTAGGGTGAGAACCAGTGTGGCCTAGTGGTTAGAGTAAAGAAAGCTGGAGAGACTGGGGCTCTGGACATCTGGGATCTAGTCTGCACTCAATGCTGAAACTCACTTGTTGACTGCAGACCAGTCAGTTACTAACAGCCTGACCTATGTAACCCTGACCTACTTACTGCAAAAGTTTGTTTATATATTTATTATTGTATCAAAATAATGAAGAAGTAGAACTGTGATTAGGTAGATCCACAGCTGGCTACAAAATTGGTCATAGAAAGTGCTCATTAACAGCACCTTTTCAAGCTGGAGTGAGGTAACGAGTGGGGTGCCACAGCACTCAATCCTGGGACCCGTGCTCTTTAACATCTTTATTAATGATCTAGATTGGGGGTCCTCAAACTTTTTCAACAGGGGGCCAGTTGAAAGGTGGCAGTGGTGAGCGCGGGCCAGCAAGGCAGTGTCGGTGGGGGGGGCGCGGGCCGGTGAGGACTTGGGGAGGGCGTGTGCGCATGCGGAGATGGTTTTCTCCAAGCGAGTCCAAAATGATCTCTGGGTGAGCAAGCTGGCTCCTTGCTTGCGCATGCACATGGGCCCGGCAAGTCCAAAACTTCTAAGGTGGGCCGGATAAATGGGCATGACAGGCCAGATACAGCCCATGGACTATAGTTTGGGGACCCATGATCTAGATAATGAAGTCCAGGGAACAATAATTAAATTTGCAGATGACCCAAAACTTGGTGGAATAGCTAGCATCCTGGAGACAAAGAAGATCCAGGGTGACCTAAATCTTATAGAACATTGGGCAGAAAACAACTGAATGAAATTCAGCAGAAGCAAATGCCAAGCTCTCCACCTACAGACCCCCCGCCCCCAAATGCATCTGTACAAGATGGGGAATACTTGGAAAAAGAAAAAGACCTTGGAGTTGTTGCTGACTCTCCAGTAGCAGGTCCATCTCCATCATCATCAGTTTAATGTTATCTCAATAATGTTTTAAGCTGTTTTAAGAACTTTCTTTTATTTTTTTACAATACTGTATACATACACATAAGGATAAATACAGATTCTCTCTCTTTCTCTCTCTCTCCAGTACCTGTGGTTACTTTATTATTACTGCATTATTATCATTATTACAATGCTATATTGTGTTTAAGATGTCTTAGTGAATATGGAAGTGTTTCTTAAGTATTTTATATGCATAGAAAGGTAAGAGATATACATATACTAAGGCAAACACTTGGCTTACTCATGTGATCGACTTACATGCAAATTTGACTTAAGGACATTCTCGGGAACAGAACTTGTCCAGGGACTACCTAGACAAGTAATTACTCCCTGGATTAATGCTATATCTTATAAATAGTGACAAAGTGTTAATCATTTACCAGTATTCCATTTAAAAAACTAGTTATTTTGAAGCAGTATGAATAGGAAGTAAAGATAATCTTCTATGCCTTCTGAACTAATGATTGAATTATGCTTATTGATTACTGGTATTTAATTCAAGGTCTTTTGTGGTAACAGAGAGAAGGAAGGAAGAGAGAGAAAGAAGGACAAGCAGCAACTGAAACGGAAAAAGGAATCTGATTTACCATCAGCAATTCTTCAGACTAGTGGTGTGTCAGAATTCACTAAAAAAAGAAGTAAACTGGTGCTTCCATCTCCTCAGGTATATTGCTTCTTGCTATCTGATGGTTGACAGTTAATGCAAATCAAGCTGCTTCTGCTTAAGTAACAGTAGTTGCTTAGTGCATCCAAGTAATGAGTAATTAGAAATAAAGTTTCAGATGCATACGTACACTTCCCCTTTGGTTTTTCTTGATGCGTATTCTTACAGACTTTAATGAGTTTTATGTCGAGGAATTCTTGAGCAATACACCCCAGTGGGTTTGATGACACTAAACACAGCACTGCAAAACTATTAGTAAACAAACCACTTGCCCCTGCTAGCTTGAAGGAGAATCAGATGGGGCAGTTGCCCATATATATTATCTTCTATTGGAATACCCGCTAAGGGTAGGCCCTGTGGTGCTATAGCATTCAGTGAGCCAACTCAGCATGCAGATGGTAGGTTAAGTAGCTCACCATTTGCCGTGGCATCTGCTGGGCATATTCCTGTAGCATTTTGAATATGCAGCCTGATTGGCCCAATCTGCTGTGACATCTGAATCCTATTAGTTGTTCATTAACTGTGGGTTGTCTGATACCCATTGTATCCAGATTTGAGTGTCACATATTACCCTCTAATCTGGAAGTTGCATATTGAAAGTGGTGACATCACACATCAGATTAAATTCTGGGTTAACTGATTACCCCTTGATTTACATATGAAAACGGCCACTGTGTCTAATATCAGGATTGAGTTTTTATTGCATGTTTTTCAATGCTTTATAGTTATGTGCAGTTCAATTATGATGTTGGTCCCTCTTTAAGATTTCAGATACAGAACTTGAAGAAGTAGTAAAAGTTGGCCAAGCAAGTGAGATTGCGCGTCAAACAGCAGAGGAATCTGGTATCACAAACTCTGCTTCCAGCACACTCTTGTCAGAGTACAATGTTACCAACAACAGCATTGCCCTTCGAACACCCAAAACACCAGCAGCACAGGACAGGATCCTACAGGTAAACTCAAATATAAGAGAAATTTTATTTAAAAATAACCGTAGAATATCAAAGTTATAATCCTTTGCAGTGTTATCTTTTATTATAGTTTCACAAAGTAACTAGTCTTTGCTGCAGAGTCCTAGCACTGGGTGTCCCTTGGCCTGGCAGGTGTATACAATTTTTTGAAAGAGGGTTAATAGGTCTCCCAGCTTTGATCATAGCCTTGTGAGGCCTTTCTATTTTTCTTCTCAGCATGAGAGAAAGGATCAATAGCAGAAATAGCTTAGGTATGTGGGTGTCAGAGATATCACTACATTCATTGCTAAGTTCCAGACAAGAGACTTGTACCCACAGCAAAAAGCAGCGAGGCCTGAAGGTTGATGAAGGGTGTTCCTTTCATTTAATCACATTAATTGTTCAGTGTGACTAAACAGGCTTAAAGAAGCCAGATGTAAAATTCTCGTCAAACTGTGGGGCTTGATGCTTTAGCAACATTGAGTTCCTGTTTGAAAATTTCCTTGTCACTTTTCAGATGGATATTCTGGTTTCAGAAGGAAAAACACCTCTTACTTGGTGGTGCTGAGTGCTGTAATTGCTATACCTTTTAACATTGATATATTCATTTCTCTTATGTTTTTAATTTTGCAAATGCTTGTGTGTTTTATGCATCTTGCCATACAGGAAGCTCAGAACTTGATGGCTCTTACTAATGTTGACACTCCATTGAAAGGTGGTCTTAATACACCCCTCCATGAAAGTGACTTCTCTGGGGTAACACCACAGAGACAAGTTGTTCAGACACCAAATACTGTGCTTTCTACTCCCTTCAGGTATGTCAAGTTATTTGAACTTGCTAGGAAGGGCAAAGATGCACTTTAATTTTCCTTTACTATAACTGAAGGTATACTATGCTTTAAATTAATTGTACAATAGCAAAAAAGATTCTGTTAAGTCTTCATTATCAGGGGGTCTATAAATTTTAGCTGGACATGTTGACCACGCCAAAAATTGTAGATGCCAACCCTGCTTTCCAGCAAGTCTGCGCAGCACCCCTTTGCTGCTGCCAACACCCACGCTTACCTTTCCTAATGGAAATGCCAGCAGGGGAGCTGCTGACTGGGTCATGCTACACTGAGGCTTTCCAACATGCACCAGGAAGCAAGATCCTCATACCTCTTCTGTTTCTGAGCAGGAAAGCCTGGCATGGGAATGGCTCTCCTGATTTGCCTGTGCGTGGCTGCTGACTGCTCGTCAAGCTCACTACATGGTGCTGACCTATGAAGAGCAGATTTTGCAAAGTGGTGATCCATGTGGGCACAAATGACATAGCCTGGCAGGGTGTGGTCGGGATCACCAGGGACTTCAAGGCCTTGGGGAAGAAACTCAGGGAGCTGAAGGCCCAAGTGGCCTTCTCCTCAATCTTACTAGTCTGGGTATTTGGGCCAGGCAGGGACAGGAGGGTCTCTGAGGTGAACGACTGGCTTAGGGTGTGATGCCAGAATGAACACTTCAGGTTCCTCGACCATGGCACCCGGTTTCTTGCCAATGGACTTCTAGCAAGCGACGGGTTGCACCTCACGAGGATGGGGGAAAGGTCCTTTGGAGATGCTCTAGCGAGCTTCGTCTGGAAGACTTTAAACTGAGCCGGGGGGGAGGGGTTCAGGCCCCCCAAAAACGTGTCTGCACTGGACAACTGTGGGGAGAGGATCAGAGCTCTGGGAACAGGGTTTTAGAGGTACTGCAGGGACTGACAGGACTCCTACAGAGAGGGGCCAGGTATCAGGGAGGATGGGAGGGAGGAGAAGGCTGGGGACTCCAAAGAAAGGAAGCTGTGGGAAGGAGTTGAGGTGCATGTACACCAATGCTAGGAGCATGGGTAATAAGCAGGAAGAGCTTGAAGCTCTCCTGGGAATAGGAGGGTATGACCTGGTGGGAATCACAGAAACTTGGTGGGATGAAAGGCAAGATTGGAATGTGAACGTAGAGGGGTATCACCTTTTTAGAAAGGACAGGAAGGGAAAGAGGGGTGGGGGCGAGGCTTTATACGTCAGGGAAGGGATAGGATGCAGTGAGATAGAATGCAGCACAGAGGGGGACTCGGTAGAGGCAGTCTGGGTGAAACTTAGGGGTTTTGACAGGGAAAGAGAACTGACAGTGAGGGGCAATAACTTGAGACCCTGGATGATGTCCTGACAGACCAGATTCTAAGGATATCTTGGGTGAGAGGCACAGTAATTATGGGAGATTTCAACCTCCTGGATATTAGCTGGGAGACTCACTCGGTGGTGACAGCCAGGTCACGTCGCTTCCTAGAAGCTATAGAGGGAGGGTTTTTCACACAGAGGGTCCGAGAGGAGACGAGGGGGGGACCCTCCTTGACTTGGTCTTGACCAATAGAGAGGAGCTGCTAGATGAAGTGCAGATTAGGGGAGCTCTGGATGCGAGTGATCACTCCATCCTTTGCTTTGAGATCAAGGGACTGGGGATGTGCAGCAGGTCTAGCACTAGAAGCTGGGACTTCAAGAGGGCCAACTTTGGCCAACTGAAGGCCAGACTGGGGAAAGTCTCCTAGGACAGGTTACTGGAAGGTAAGCGAGTTGAGGGGGGGTGGATGGCGCTCAAAAGGGAGGTTTTGGAGACGCAAGCCTGGACGATACCTCTAGTTAGTAAGGTGGGGAGGCGGAGGAGCGTGCCGCCATGGATGCGAAAGGAGGTGGTTAGAGGGATTAGAGGAAAGAGGAACCTCCATAGGAAATGAGTACTGGGGCAAATAGACAAAAGGGTATACTGGGAGGAGGCCCCTTGCAAAAGGATTCTTCGCAAGGCTAAGGCTGATTACGAACTGAGACTTGCCAAGAATATCAAGAGCAACAAAAAGGGCTTCTGTCAGCATGTAAATAGGAAGAGGAAGGGGAGACAAGTGGTGGGACCACTAAATAAGGAGGAAGGAGATCCAGTGACTGATATGAGGGAACAGGCACAGATGCTGAATAACAATTTTGCCTCTGTGTTCTCCCCAAAGCAGGATGGGGGAGATCTTCATAGGAGATTAGATGAGACCGGGGAACTAGGGACACAGATTAGAGTCACCCCCTTGAAGTTGAGGGGCTCCTCAGGGCATTGGACATTGCAAAGGCGCCAGACCCTGATGGGTTACACCTGAGGGTGCTTAAAGAGTTCTCAGGGATTCTTTCACGCCTGTTGGCCTCCATTTTTGAGGCCTCGTGGAGAAGGGGTGAAGTTCCAGAGGACTGGAGGGTGGCATCAGTGGTCCCATTTTTCAAAAAAAGTAGTAGAAGGGACATGGGGAATTACAGACCTGTTAGCCTTACATCCATTGTAGGAAAAACAATGGAAAGGCTCATAATAGTGAGAGATCTTGTGATGCTAGATAGGGAAGGGAGGCTGACAGACACACAACACGGCTTCTGCAAAAACAGGTCCTGCCAGACAAACCTTGTAGAATTCTACGATAAGGTTTTGAGATGGCTGGATGGAGGGGATGCAGTGGATGTGGTTTACCTGGATTTTAGCAAGGCCTTTGACAAAGTGTCCCATGATATCCTGGTTGAGAAACTGAGGAGTTTTGGGATAGACTAATGCACTGTTTGATGGATTAGGGCATGGTTGCCTGATTGAAAGCTGAGGTAACCATTAGTGGGCAATCATCACTTGTGGCCAGTGACAAGCGGGGTCCCCCAGGGCTCTGTCCTGGGGGTGATCCTGTTTAATCTTTTCATCAATGACATGGAAGAAGGGGTGAACAGTTGCTGATCAGGTTCGCAGACGATACTAAAACAGGGGCAGTGGCACATACTTCAGAGGAGCACGTACTTCAGATCCAGAAGATCTGGACAGACTATGGAAGTGGGCAGGAGGCAACAGGATGGTGTTCAATGTGGATAAGTGCAAGATCTTGCACTTGGGGCATAGGAATGGGTGTCATAAGCACAGGCTAGGCGACAAGTGGCTGGAGAGGGACCTTGGGGTGCTGGTTGACTGCAGGCTGAACATGAGTCAGCAGTGGGATGCAGTGGTTAATAGAGCAAACGCCACCCTTGGTTGCATAGCCAGAAATGTGGCTTCTAGATCAAGAGAGGTATTACTACCACTCTATACAAGTCTGGTGTGCCCACAACTGTAGTATTGTGTTCAGTTTTGAGCCCCTCATTACAGGAAGGATATAGCCAGGTTAGAGTCAGTGCAGCGTAGGGCCACAAGGTTGGTGGCCGGTTTGCAGGGGATGCTGTATGAGGCGAGACTGAGGGAACTGGGTCTCTTCAGCCTGGAGAAGAGGAGACTCGGGATCTGTTGGCGAGTATGTGAGGGGGTGTCACACGGAGGTGGGTAGAGACCTGTTCTCCCCTGCAGAGGAGGGCAGGACACGCTCCAACAGAGCAAAGCTCAGGAAACCAAGGTTCAATTTAGATTGCAGGAAGCACTTCCTGATGGTTAGGACCCCGAAGGTATGGAATGGGCTTCCATGGGAAGTGATTGAGGCCCCATCGGTGAGGGTGTTCAAAGATAGGCTAGACATGCGCATGGTGGGCATGTCTTGAGTGGAGCCGGCTGGAGCTAGGGGTCAGACTAGGTGGCCTGAGAGACCCCTTCTGACTTGCTCTGTTTCTATATTTTTAACTGCATAAATTATGTTTAACAATGTGCACAAGTTTTTTGTGGGGACAGGTGGTTGTTGTTGTTTTGTATTTGAGTAAATGCATTTTCTTTTTAGGACTCCTACTCATGGAGCTGAAGGCCTAACTCCTCACAGTGGGATGACTCCAAAACCAGTGGTGGGAGTCACTCCAGGCAGAACACCATTGCGTGATAAACTGAATATTAATCCTGAAGAGGGAATGGCAGATTACAGCGATCCATCATATACAAAGCATATGGTAATTCAGAAATTGCTTTAACTTTGATTATCCATTGTAAGGATTTTCAAAATTATGATCAATGCTCATCTGAAACCAAACAGAAATTAGTTTAAACCTTTTGCAAGTGTATTTGTGATGTACATCTATTGACTTGGGGGGAAGTCTTTAAAATGGCAGATGAGGTTCTAATTTTCATTAGGATTGTGGCAATAGAAAAAGGTGATGTTCTAACCTTACCTTCCCCTCATCATCTTCCTCATCTAACCTCTCCTCTCTCAGCAGCTTGTAATCACATTGAAGATGGTTGGCTGGATTCTTGATTTTTTGCCCTACCAGAAATGCTCCCTTAGTCAATCTGCTATGCTATCATATTGAGGCCCAATTCACATTTTGAGAAACTGGCTTCAAGAAACTGGCTTCCTGTGTAGAATATATACAGGAGTATAATGCCTGTGGTCATAATACATGTAATAATGCTGCGGAGGCGAGGTGACCAAAACTATATAGGCAAAGCAATGTAGTGCAATATTGTATATGACTAGTAAAACCATTTTGAAAACTATCCAAAGCATTTTTATACATAATGAAACCTTACTGAATAGATAATATTCAGTGTCCAGGAGCGAGAGCTACTTCTGTATTCTCATTTGTTTTACATTTTTTATCTTGGCTTCCAAAATAAAGCAGTGCTCTACCTTCTGATAAGCTTCCTGTATATCAGCCTTCCCCAGCCTAATGCCATCCAGATGTTTCTGTACACATTCACCAGGATTCTTGACCATTAGCCATCTGACTGGGACTGATGAGAACAGAAGCCCAAAACATCTGGAAGGCACTAGGTTGGGGAAAACTGGTCTATGCACAAAGCTGAATATTTCAGGTATTCCCAACCTTGAATCACAGTGTGATGTTGGAATAACAGTTTCATCATAACAGTGATGAGAGTAGTGATCCAAGGTAGGATAAAAATAATATTGAGGTTCTAAATTGGAAATGTCTGTATAATGTTTATTATATGGCATTGTCCAGGATCAGTCTTGCCAGATTAACCATATCTGTTCTGTTTTATGAATGAGGTCTTGAGCTTAATTCAGTAGTTATAAACAATTTTTCATGGGAGTGGTGTGGATGTAATATATATTTATTTCAGCAAAACATTTGAAAAAGTTCTTTGTGCTATTTTGGTTATCAGATTGGTTAGATGTTAATACCATCAGGTGGATGGTATTATTAGAAAATAGATTAGAAAATTGCACTCATGAGCTTTCATCAGTGATTTCTCTTCAGATGGAAAGGGTGTTTTGATTCAGTCACTGCAGGGTTTGTTGTTGTCCTGGTATTGGTCAATATTTGACAGATGATTTAGATGTAGGAGTAGAGGGAATCTTATCAGAGTTGCATCTGATGCAAAACAGGGAACAATACATAATGTTCCAGAAGACAGGAATCCTATTCCAAATGACATTGACAGAATGGAAAACTGCACTGAAACTGGGTTTGTTCAGCCCTGAGAAGAGAAGCAGGGATGTGACAGCTATCGTCAAATAACTGAAGAGCTGTCAGATTTAAAAAATGGGTTTGAGTTATAAGAAAGTAGCCTTTGGTTGACCTTCAGGAGAAATGTCTTAATGGTAAGAGTGTTTCAGTAGTGGAACTGATTATGGGGGAGGGATATCCTGCCTCACTGGAGGTTCTCAGGCAGGGGCCAGAGAGCCATCTGTTGGGGATTCTTTAGCTCTAGATTTTCTGCATTGAGCTGAGGAGTTAGTCTAGATGGCTTACAGGTCCCTTTCCAACTGTTTCCTTTTATTGCTGTCTAGTTAGCTGTGAGTGAAAAACCAAATCCTGATATTCTTGTGGCAGTTTGCTGCTTGATTCTGTGGCTGTTGATATCCGTCCCTTTGAGGCAGTTGATTAGATTGTCCAGCCCCACAAGTAGTTAAAATGCTTTGTAAACCATTGTTAAGGACATTACTGCTTGCTATGTTAAAGTTTAGAGTGTTTCCTTAAGTGGAGGTCCTTTTTCCTCTCTTGAATAAGATAGTCCTGATGTTGGAATCTTGGCTAGTGAGATAAATATCAGATGAATAGTCTCTGCTAGTATCCAGAACTTTAAAAATGATTAGTTGTGATAATTTTGTTTTTTAGCTACTGCCAGAAAACTGTAGCATGTAATGAAATCAATCTGGTTAGGTTACCATTTTACAGCATTAATTACTCTAACAGAATATGTTATGTCAGTATTTTAATGAAGTGCATATGACGTTAAGAATAAGAGCTAGCTTACACAAATTTCTTGCTTATGCAAGCAATCCCATCTTGACCAGGTTTATACTTACATAGATATCATTTGTGGAATTGTAGATGCTTTTGAGTCCAATTACTGTGATTGCTTGCACAATCACAGGAATGAGCAACCTTGAATCCTCAGACCTTCTTTGATCGTCTAGGCTGCCTACTTGAGAAGTACATGCAAAACCTCTCATTTGTGTTATTAATTGGCTTTGTTAATAAGTTACAGTCATTTTATATCTCTGACCATTTTGTAGCAGGTTAGAAATACAGGAGCTGATTCACAGCCAATTAGAATCAGATTGGCTGAAAATTGAAATAACTTTCTGCTTTATTGTTGATTTTAGGAAAATGTATATGTATCTTGTATGTAATGTATTAAATTGCTTTGGCATTCTGCAGGAAAGAGAATCCCGTGAAAATTTGCGCCTAGGGCTTATGGGACTTCCTGCTCCAAAGAATGACTTTGAAATAGTTCTACCAGAAAATGCAGAAAAGGAACTTGAGGATCATAATGCAGATGAAACATACATTGAAGATGCAGCAGATGCGGATGCTCGCAAACAGGTAGGAATTAATTCTTGAATGTGTGAAGGACTGGCAGAGGAGGTTGGTGATTTAAGAAGAGTCTAAGTATATTAATGTTCGTTTATTTATTTAAAATAATTATGTCCCACCCTTTAATAATAAAGGAAAAGTTAAAGAAGAATGAACAGCTACAAAACAATAAATTAACGGGAGACAACAAGAACACAAAAATACTAAAATGATGTGAGCCGCCCTGAAAAAAAAATGTTTTAGTAAATAAAATAAATAAATAAAAAATAAAAAGAAATGATTGTGCCCCAGAGGCAAGCCTCCAGTGTGCAGGTGGGGATTCCAAATGCAGCATGTTTAGTGACTGAGCCAGATCACTCAAAGACTGAGGTTGATAGAATACCTGCAACCCATCCATAACGCTTCTTCTGTGAGAGAAGGCATTTACCAGTTGTAAATTCATTCTGTTGAGATCGGGCTTTAGTCTCATTCAGTCTGTTACAGATTCTACACCCTGGTTCAGATCTGTTACTGACTCACCTCAATTGGCCTAAAAAATTTGGTGTCATCAATAATTTCACATACATATTAAGTAGCATGGGAGATGAGATAGAACTCTGCAGGACTCCTGGCATAAAAAGCAGGAGTCTTATGGAGATCTGGTGCCCATGGCGCTCCAGTCCAAGCATGATCCCAACTTTATGGCAACTCTTTCAGTGGGTTGAGGTTAGCCTTTCCTTGCCTGTATTTTAGCATCTCAAGTAACAAGTCCTTTGAATCATGATGTAGGGGAGAAGAGGGATTTGTCTTGCAGGTGCCATATCTGTATTTGGGAACAAATATTCCCCAAGTCAGATTTCACTTATTCTTGGTTCCTCTGCCCACCTTCCCAATAGCAGGTAGCCTAGCATGCTCCATATTCCTGCAGTTTACCAGTCTGTGCTTGTGGTACAGGGTTATGAAAGAAGAATCCTAATTTCTGGCATGATGTTACCTTTTTATTTATACAATTCCAGTCTCATTTTTTCCTAGATTTTTGCTTTCCCTCAAGACTTTCTTATCTACAGCAGAACCTTCTGACCTTATAATTGCTTTCTGTGCTGCTGAGAGGTCTTAAAAAGAGGTCTTTTGGAGCATTTGAACTACAAGTTTAAATGTCTTTAATCTATTTCTAGACCATTCGGGAAATGGAGCGTATAAAAGCTCTAAAACGGATGCACAAGGCAGTTCAGAAAGATCTGCCAAGACCTTCTGAAGTAAGTTATTTCCAATTTTAATAAAGTTAAAATATAATTAAAATAAGATACATATTGCTGTTGGGCATTCAAAAAGCAAAATAATAGATATTTATAAGTTGTAGTATGGGAGTCAGCAACTGTGGATGCCTAGGTCAAAACTCAAATGAATGTGGGTGGGAGATGTTTGTAACTTTAACATTTGGTGCCAGTAAGAAGCGTGTGTTGAGACACTGGCCCACCTCCTTCATTTCCTTCTTGAAGTAGCCCTTTAGGAAAAATAAGTTGCTGATAGAGTTTGTAGTTCAGCTAAATGAAATTAAGAATAGCAAAGTATTAACTTTTGATACTTATCAAATGGTGTAGATCTAAAATATGAATGTGTGAATTGATAGGACAAAATGCTCAAATGTAAACAGTGTTACTTGGCTTGTGACAGAGGTAGCTCTTAAATGGCTGTGCATATGTTTTTGGCTTAGGTTAATGAAACAATCCTGAGACCTTTAAATGTAGACCCACCTCTGACAGATTTACAGAAGAGTGAAGAACTGATTAAGAAAGAGATGATCACCATGCTTCATTTCGACCTTGTTCATCATCCTTATGGAGAACTTGCAGGAAACAAAAAAGGGAAAGTCCCAGGATTTGGAACCAGCAGTACAGAGCACTTAGCTTACCTTGAACAGAATCCTTATGAGAAGATCTCAAAGGAAGATCTCAAGAGGGTATATATGGAATATTTCTGTACCTAATCTGTGCAGTTTGCATTGCCATGATGTAGCATTTATATTGCATTTTGCAAAACTTTTCCTCCTCAGATGATTAGAAAAACCTCTAAAGCATTCTTCTGAGAGTGCTTTAGTAATACTGGCAACAATTCAGTAAACAGCCTTCTTAGTAGCTTCCTTCACTTTGACAGAAATTAACACTAATAATTAGTGTTAATACTAATACTACTCTACATGACCAAGGTAATGAGTCTTCCAAGAGTGAAAGTCCAGCAAATCACTTCTGATTAGTTCCTGATCCAGAGGCAGACAAAAACCATGCCAGATGTCTTGATTTTTAATCTTTCACATGAGTGACATCCTGCAGTCTATATCCTAGGATGACCTGCCATCTCCTGAGGCATCACCTGCCAGGTCTGTATTCCAGCAGCAGGCAATCAAGCACTAAAGGGCTAAGACAGTAAAGCCTGGCCTGTTGTCCTTGGAACAGAACTCCCTCCTCCATTTGACAAGCCCCATCCAAAATTCCCAGTTTTCTCCTAATCAAGAGAGAAAAAGAGAAAAATTGTTTATGGTTTGTTATACTATGTGGTGTTACATTCAGACCTCTCAAATAGCTTGCCCATTTTTATTGATTCCCCCTGCCGCATGTATCATGACTGTGTTCTTGTGTGCACTTCATGGGGACTGACGGCTAGGCCTAATAAGTTTAGTTTGCCCCTGTGGAACACAGTGTACCAGGGCATGCAGGTGTTTTCCACAGTGTGGATATGAGGTGACTTTTTGTAATTGTCATTAAGTATAGATCCTGAATTGTTCAGCCTTTACTCTGACAAGCCTTACTCTCTCAAGTTTGGTCTGCGATTTCAGAATGTATTGAACCAATCACAAAAGGATGAATCTCCAGTGAAAATTGGTTCTAAAAAGTTACCGTATTATGGAAAGTATCTCTGTAAAAGCACAATTAGACATTATCTTATGAAAGCAAGTTTGTAGGGACCCTGGATCGAATATACAAATTGTACTCTATGTATTAGCTACAGCAAATGTGTGTGAAAGCTCTGGGGTAAGTGTTAGCAGAAAGATTTTCCTGACTGCTTACTGAATGTATGTTGACCCAGACAAAGGATAATATTACTCTTTGTATGGAGAAGATGCCTGTATAAATTGCTCATTGATGGTTCAACACAGCAAGAAATGTTAGATTGTAATTAAATCTTTATTCCAAACAGGCTGAAGAACTCTTGGCTCAAGAAATGGAAGTAGTGAAGCAAGGGATGGGACATGGGGAGCTTTCAAGTGAAGCTTATAACCAGGTGTGGGAAGAATGTTACAGCCAGGTATTATTCCTTCCTGGACAGAATCGCTACACACGAGCTAACTTGGCCAGTAAAAAAGACAGAATTGAATCACTTGAGAAGAGACTAGAGGTTAGTATAACTTTGGGATTGCAGGGGAGGGGGTAACGACTAATTTTGCAAAGCTTTTATTGTCTTTATATTAAAAGAACAGTATCTTTCATCTTATGGCAGAACTACAGGGAATCCTTAAGATGGGGGATGGTAGGGAAGCAATGAAGACAGGGCAGAAATTTAAGGGTCTTTATTTAAAAAAAAATAATGTCATTAGCCACAAAAGGAGGGAATTAAGCCATGCCAGCTTCAGGGTTGTCACAGTTGCCAAGCCAGAATCAGATCGACTTGGGAGAACAGAGGGTCTTTGAATCCAGCAGGTTCAAAATAACCTTCTCTCCTTCTCTGCAGTGCCCAGTCACTGGGAAGACTGCTTTTCACCTTGTACTAAAGCCTGCATCCATGAAGCAATTAATACAAGAGCTTTGCAAAGAAAAGAACTGATACTAGGCCATCCACGCCTGTCATCTACAGTGGTGCATTGTCATCTTTAAGTTGTTTCACAGTATATGTGGAAGTCATGTCTGCCATGACTACAATGTATTATTGTTTCTCCTGTTCAATAGGCAACATGTGTGATTCTAAAGAGGTGGGGATCATATAGTGGGGACCAACTTTGAGAAAACAACAGGGGGGACAGATTGTTTGTGGATATTTTATTAAAGAATTGACTGTGCAAGGAAACTGTCACCAAAACCCACCTTCAATGGCCAAATAAAATTTGCATTGGCCCTCATTTCATTGTAAAAGAACCTCATAGTATAAGATATATTTCCATTCACTGCTGGCCAGCAGAGTGCACTATTGCCCTATGGAATATTCATGATAGGCTCATGACAGCCCAAGATGAACTGTTAATTGCTTTCTTATATGTACATCAACACATTTTTTTCTTATAAAATCGGCATGGTGCCTTAAATATTTGCTCCTCTCCTGTGGTAGCATAGGTTAAGGCTGTAATCCTGTAGACAGCTACTTGGGAGTAACTGGAGTAAGCCCACTTTTATTAAGCCATTTATACATGTTATTAATATATCCATTAAAGAAGGAAATGGTGACCGATGGGGGCAGAGCATGGGTCACCAGAGGTAGTTGCAAGAGATCACCAAAGGTAGAGCTGTCAGTGGTACCACACCAACAACTCTTTCCACATTTTGCTACTCTAGTGAAAACTGAGGCATGCACATTAATGTAAAGATCAGCAGTGCAAACTAATATTTTGAGGAAGCATTCTTAAAAATTAACCTAGAAGACACCACAAGTTTTAGAAAGAACCACAGGATCCAGGGGCTACCAAAGCCTTTGAAAACAAATTGCGAACCCCACAGATCAGACCCACAGGGATTTAAAAAACAGAATTCCCACTTTGTGTGTGCATAGGACTGTACTTGAGGATATAGCTTCAGTTTACTTAATGTCAGTTTCACATGCCTCCCCTCCATGTCCTCTTTAGTACTTCTCTGAGGTCTTCCCACCTTAAAAAGCAGTCCACATGGTTTTTTCCATGCTTTTTGTGAGAAGTGGTTTAGAACTCCCATTCCCATCTCAAACTTGAAAGCCAGGATTTCAAGACTCTCCCTTTGGCCCTTGAGACAATAGGGGGCCGTTGGATTGTTCCCTTCATAAACAACTCAGATTTCTAGTCTTCGCCAAAGCTGAATGATTCACTGACTGTTATTTCTTTCCAAGAGTCCATTTTCCAGGGATTTTTAAAGCTAAAAGAATATCCTAAGTAGGGTAATCTGGTGGAGCTGTGAACTAAGTCCTGTATGCTTCTTTAACACCAAATCCTAAGCACTGAGCTTTGTTATTGCCTGTAGATTAACTATGCACCAGCCAAAGCCTAGCAAACCACTTGTGCAACAGTGATGCTTGAGAAAAAATTACATAGTCTCATTGCTACTTGCTGTAATAGTGGACTCTTTTTTAAAGCAGTGCGGCACATTGTGTTCTTCAGTTGTGCCTCCTTCTCAGTCTTACAAGCCACATCATAATTTCAGTTGCTAGAACACAGTGCAGTATTCTGTATCTGGATGTCCTGGGTTTCTGAATGCAACTGGAAGTCGGCACAAACTGGTGTGTTTTGTCATATTTGGTATCAATTGAAAATCTTTACTAAAAATGTGCAGCTTAGTCACAAGTATGGCTTGGCCAAACTAGTACACCTGGAAGTGTTTTCATTGGATAAGTTTGCTGAGGAGGAATGTGAGTTGAACAGCTAATGTACAGACCAGCAGGTCATTCTGCAGATTTGCCCCACGTCATGGAGAATGTACATATCATATATTCATGAAGACAGAATTGTACACATTTCCTTTTCTACTCAAGATGTATAGTTTTTGAAGCTAGTTCATCCCTTGACATTCTTGTATATTCCCTAGGAATCATAATCTCCATGAAACACTGGAGAATGTGGGTACTTTGGCATGATCTGATCAGAATTTTGTAATTTGTCCATGCAATAAGCATAGTCTCCAAGGAATCTCAGAGAATGTGCAGGAATCAGCAGGATAATGGGAAGAAATTTGTTCATAGTTCATGTAATGTATTTTTCAAGTGATGTTAGAGAATGTTGATATATAATTAGTAACCTGAATGTTTAATTCTACACACTGGTGCCATCTCAAAATAAATTAATCTCTAAACACTCCCAGACTGAGAATAAACAAGACACAAATAGAACTCTTCAATGGTTTTGATGGAAAGACAGTTTCTGTTTCCTTGTGCCTTCAATGTCTGGCCTAGTTTACTGATGCAGTAGAATGAAGTGGAAGAGTACAGAAGGAGCAGAACAGGGTGTGCCTGTAATTAATTACATTTTTGATTGCTTGCCTGTGTGAAAACTCTGCAAGTAGAAAAGTATTATTTATATATGAGGGAGAATTAAAAAATCACATTTTCATTTTTCAGTTCAGTCCACTCTCTTGTGTCCTTCTGCAGGTACAAATCAGGCCTTTGTCTTCAGTCACTGAAGGATTCAGAACAGTGGATAGGCTACTATCCACTTACTTAGACAGGCTATTAGAATACAGGGAGTCCCTGGGTTATGAACAAGTTCCATTTCTGAGAAGGCAGAAATTCAAGTCAAATTTATATGTAAGTTGGATCAAGTATAGTTGGCACTCCAAATTCAGAGGGGCTAGGGTCTCAGAACCCCCATGAAAGTGGAAAACCATGAATAGCTCTTGCACCATCCCATCCAAACTCACAAGGACCGCCTCTTTTCAGCAAGGAAATGCCAAGAGATTTCCCTCCCTGAATGGGCAGGGCAGGAAGGATGCTTTGCAAGCCTCCCTCTCTACCCATTTGCTTCCTCCCTCTCTGTGGGGATGACAATTTTCTGCAGTAATTTTGAAAAAATTAATAGGCTTTATGGTAGTTCATTCATTAGTACAGTTTGTACATGACTCGGGTATTAGAAATTCAGGGACTGCCTGTAATTTAGACATGGAAATAAGTCCAGTGGGAGAAAGGGGAGCTCTTGCACGAGTGCAATACAGCCAGATTCCTAAAATGGTCACAGGATTGATGAAGGGGTGAGAGCTGTGTGTTTTGATGGATTTGTGAATCAGTGTTAGGGGGATGTTTGAATGGATAAATGAATGAAAGACTGATAAAGAGAGAACAGATGGTAGTGACTCTCCCTCTTTCTCTCCTAAGAACAAGTACAGTACACCTTGTGATGTTAAGGTGCTGGAATATCAGTCTTAGACATGCTCATGTGTCCACACAGTAAAAATCAAAGAATGTGCCAGGAGTAGAGCCAGGATGAATGCCCATTCTCTATTTTGGGGTATAGTTAGGAAATACATAGTTAACTTCCCAAGTTCTAGCACTAGCTTCTAATTGAATCTTCAGGTTAAAAAATCTTGAATTATTTTCATGGCAATATGCTACAGTCAACCTGAAAGCGTTAAATACAAATAGCTGTTAATCTGTCTGTCTCTGAACCTGGAACTACAGGAAAGAAAGAGATTTGAGGAGAGAGGTCCAGAAGAAGCATCAGAAAAGGGAAAACAGGGAAACTGAAAAAGGAGAATAACAAAAGATAGGCAAGTCTGAGGAAAAATGGAGTTCCACATAAGGGAAAGTGGACAGGAACTGAAAAGGCAGGAGATGCTGGGAAGGACCATTACGATATCACAGAATGCATCCAACTGCTTAGATATAAGTTTTCATTACTGACATTGCTCCATGTTGCTTTTTTGTATTGAGTCAAGCCTGTTGAGTTAAAAACATAAAGATGCTGTATTTATTGTTCCAGCATCTCAGATTGTTGTTGCATTAAAAGCTGTGGTATAACCACATTGTTCAGGAGACATCAGCTTAAGTGTTAAAAAACAATGGAATGCAATCCATGTAATAAATTGCAGAATTGTAATTTACCCCTGGGACTTTTGATTGTTGAATTAAACAACATGTAAAGCACATAGCAGCTATCAAAAATGTAGGCTGTACACACCTGGTCTAATTTTAGCTAATCATTCTGGGATGATAATATATCAAGTAATACCTCACCTCAGGAATGTTGGTTTTTCTATTAATAATTAAGACTTCTAAGTAAATTGTGCTTAAATCTTGTTTTGACAGGAATTTAAAAAACAGCTTATGTAACATTAGATGCAAATTTATTCCTCCTGTCTCCATCCAAACTGTGCTGGGGTATATCCCTGCAGTGTAATGAAGTGTGCTAATACAAAAAATTTGTGGTTTAACCACTTGGAATGTAGTGCTGTATGAATGCAGGCAACCCATGCTCATTTATCCTGAAAGGGTTCAAATGTGCGTGCATTTTCACAAAGCACCTTCACAAAGATACATATGCTATTTTTGTAATGTATGACGTGCCCCATTGAAACAAGAGGGCATCCATGTGACATTTTCAGGAACTAGAGAGCAGTATTAGGGTTACAACCTTTTAGGCTGCAATATTATGCATACTACCTGGGAATATGCCCCTCTGAACTCAGTGTGGCATACTTGTGAGATAATTAACCAGTATAAAGGGTTAACATTAACATCACTGTAAGCAAAATTTTAACGGCTTGGTTTTCCAGAAAAAAAATTTAATCAGAAAATGTGTCACTACCCTAAATTAACAGAAACCTGATTTAGTGGTTTTATTTGACTTCTTTTTAATAAACAAAAAGGATATGGCTTGTCAGACATGCTATAGAAATGTTTCAGCAATTTTTCTGGTAACCAAAAGTAGATGAACTGAATTTTTTAAAAAAGGAATAGTTTAAAATGGCATATTCAGAAACTTAGTGATGTAATTATATCTGGGCTTTACTTGCTAATTATTTTTACTGGAATACTTGTAAATTTTTAAGTATGATGCAATAGGAGATATTGCTATTCTCTTACACTGTTCAAAATTGGAGGGACAAACTAAAGTTATTGAAAACTGTTAGACTACTAATTTTACCATGCTGAAGAGCTGCATATATGTGTAAGAGCTCCATAAGAATATATGCTTCTTAGAGATAGGCATTTGAAAAAAAGTTAATAACTTTGATTTTAGGTTTGGCTGACTGTACCTATTCCAGTTGCTCAGTTTACTTTGTGTTGAGATTATTAATTATGTTGCTGAATAACTCTGAAGCAACTGGTTGGATCCAAGAAGAATGCATTCATAATGGTACTAGGGAAGTGCGCTTCCCTGCCTCTCTTCCTTCTAGAAGTCCATTTGCCCATTTTTTTTGGGTGTTCCCTCTTCCCCCCATGCCATAGCCCATCTCATTCAGCAGGAATCTGGTGAGAGTCTTTCCAATAGGTAGTTAGCTGCTGGGGGAGGGGAGGACAAAGAAATTGGTTTCTGCTAGCTCTGTTACTCCCTTTTCTCTGGATGTAGTCCTTTAGTGTGTGTGTGAGTTTTTTGTATTTGTTTTTAATGAACACTTTTCTGTAGAACAATAGATCAGGGGACAGTCACTGTCAGTAGTAGTGCATTGAGCAAGGAAGCACTAGAATTATTATGAGTTAATATTTGATTCTGGTATGCTTCTGCAATAAGGAATAAAGATTAATTATGTGCATCAAATTCCACAGTACCTTTTCTTTACACATCCTTCCAAAAGGCTACTGAGTCAGTTGAAAAGCAATTTGACTAGTCTAACTGGAAATATTGTATCAGTACCTATGCTAAGGACAAAACTGCAAATGTACTGGCCCTGTTCATGCACAACAGAAGCAAATCATGGGTTAATTAACCATATCTGGGTTTGCATGTCATGCTGCACAAGTGTGGCTTGTGCAGTAAAGCCAAACGGATAAATGTGCAGCAGGAGCACAGCTGCACCTCCCTGACAGCTCTTTGGCTTTTAAACTGATGGTGTGTTGTTACATTCAAACAGTAGCATAAAGTCCCACTTCATACATCACAGAACAGCTCATGAACAGGCCTATTGGAGGTTGATTATACAGATCAAATCAGCTTGCACCTGGCCTATAACCAAGCTATTTATGGGTCAGTTAACCCATGATGTACTACTGTTACGTGCAGACTATATTATCTGTCAATAGGTTTTGGTAACAGGTCATCAGTGAGTGCAGTGTGTGCCTGCCATGTACAATTGCCAAAAATGCACCTAAAAGGTTGTATCACTTGTGCAGGCACACCTTCTTCTTATGTGTGAAGGAGTCCACATAAAAATGAGACTGTTGTGTTTTTTCCAGAGATTAGGAGCAGCTGTACTCTAGACTTGGGTTTTAAGTAAAGGATACGAACCATTGTTTAAAGTACATCTGTATAAGTGCTAAGAATTTCAGCTTGGTATCTTTTGCTTTAAAATTTTCTAGACTAAAATTATTTGTTTTTTCCTTGAATGTAGGGTCAGCAATTTTTAATTAATGGTATTAGATACAAGTAAATTTACTTGACTCCTTTTATGGGCTTCTAAGTTACCTTCCTTATTAACAAGGAATTGGAAACAAGGAGAGTCTGTTGCTTGCTTGGTTCAAAAGGAAGAAAGCTAATATAGAAAGTGATTTACACCTCATCAAGATGCAACTTAAATCATAATTGTTGAATTTTAAATTTTAATATAATGTGCATTGTGATAGCCTTAAGACAAACATGGGTCCTAGTTGCACGAAGTAGTTTTTGCTAGCATAGCAACAATTTCCTCTCAGACAGATATTCAAACTGCAGTATTTAATTATGCTAAACAGAACATCCTCAGACATTTTGGGAGAGAAATTACACATTTTGAAATAAATGTGTAAAGAATAAGTAGTTTAAAGAGTAAGTTCCTTAATTTCAGTAGGTGCCAGGAATGAGTGGGGAAATGCACCCCTCCAAATCTAGCTAGCTTTACCCCAGTTGAAAAAGCTTGAATTAATTTATTCAATTTATATCCCACCTTTCTTATCTTTTAAACAATTCAAAGTGTCTTACATCATTTTCCTTCACTTGCGCTCCATCTTATCTCCTCCACAACTACCCTGTGAAACTAGTAAAGTTATAAAAAAGAGCAGGCAAGGCAGGCAGTAGATTTTGATATTTTAGAATTTTTAACTTCACTGTTTTCTATTCACCTACTTCCTTATTTTACATTTTTGCTCATGTATTTATATTTGGCATATTAAAACAGTTCTAAATGAAGGAATACAACTTCTGGCTCTTCGAACATTAATCCCATTGTAA